AGAAGGAACTGTTGGCAGTAGTATGGGGAATCAAGCACTTTAGACTGTATTTGTATGGCAGAAAGTTTAAAATTGTCAGTGGCCATAAGCCCCTCACCTGGATTATGAACATAAAAGACCCAGGTTCGAGACTAATGAGGTGGAGAATTAAGTTGGAGGAATATCAGTATGAGATAATACACAAGAAAGGAGCACTGAACACCAACGCCGATGCCTTGAGTAGGATAATGAGGTAGTACTAGATACGGAAGGGCAGAATCACCAGGAAATAGACGAGGATTTTAAGAGGAGAATTCTGTACGAGTTTCACGACGCACCTCTAGGAGGGCACAGGGGAATGAACAGGACGTACAGAGCAATAAGAGATAAATACTCATGGCCGAACATGAGGCAGGAAATCGAAGACTACATTAAGAAATGTAAAAGTTGTCAAGTAAACAAAATACTTGGTCCACAGAAAAGGGTACCTATGGAGATCACGACCACCGCCAATCAACCGTTCGAGAAATGCTGCCTCGACATAGTAGGGCCTTTACCCGAAACTAAAGAAGGAAATAAATACATCCTAACCTTCCAGGACGAATTAAGCAAATTTTTAGTAGCGGCACCTTTGCCAAGACAGGACGCTGAAACTGTCGCAAGAGAATTTGTAAGGCAGGTGATTTTGAAACTAGGTACGCCTAGTAAGATCCTAACAGATCAAGGGTCAAATTTCCTGAGTGAAATGTTTAGAAACGTGTGCAAAATATTAAAGATAAAAAAATTGCAAACCACATCCTTTCACCCCGAGAGTAATGGAAGTTTAGAACGTAGTTACCGAGTTCTAAAAGAGTACTTAAGACATTATATAAACAGGGATCAAGACAACTGGGATGGATACCTTACGCAATATATGTGTATAACACCTCCACACATTCGGCTACAGGATACACCCCCTTTGAGTTAATGTATGGATACAGGGCGAGCATGCCGTCCGCCCTACAAGAAAATCCTAGCACCCAATATAGTTATGATGACTTTGTAGCGGAATTGAAATGCAGATTGCAGACAGCACACCAAGTAGCCAGGGAAAGGTTAATTAGGAATAAGGAAAAAAGTAAAGAATACTACGACAGGGGAAAGCAAGAAACTACCTTGAGGGTAGGCGATAAAGTCCTCCTGTATGATGAAACAGTTAGACGAGGGAGATCCAAAAAGCTGAGTGCCCAATGGCTGGGTCCTTACAAAATCACAAGCTTGGATAGGGTCAATGCAACCATCAAGAAGGGTAGACGCACTCAGAAGGTACATTTAAACAGGTTAAAGCCGTTTTACTGAGACAAATAAACGAGTATAAGTTTGACAGATAGGAGAAGCCACCCTTTACAACACTGAATGGAAAACTGTCGTATATATTAACCTGAGAAAAATGGTTAGCGAAACCGAACAAGTGGGTCAGTATATAGACTTTGTTAACAGATTATGTCAGGCTACACAGGTACAGAATGGGACCGACTGTAACCATTTCTCAATTCTGTCAAAAGATAGGCTTAGACAGGTAAGAGGAATGGAAGAGGTATTTCATGGGTTATTGGGAAATCAGAGACATGCAAGAAGGCGCAGAGGTGTTTTTAATTTTGTCGGAGAGATTGGAAAAGTATTATTTGGCACCTTAAACTCAGATGACGCGGAATTTTACAATAAAAAAATTGAGCAATTTGAGGAAGACTCTGACGACTTGACCAGGCTAATGAAACAGCAGATCTCGGTAGTGAAGGCTTCATTGGGGGCAGTCAATGGTACGCTTTCGGATATGGAATATAATAATCAAATGATTAAGAAAGGAGTAGAAAATTTAAAGACGTACATCAAAAAAATTTACTTCAGAGACCGAATCACAGTTGACTACTTTAGATGTAAAGATAACCGTGGAGGGGCACATTGCCCGTGTTAACCATGCTCTCGATGCTATACAGAGAAATCTAGACTTGATGATTGAAAGCGTCCTAAACGCGCAGAAAGGCATTATTCAGCCGCAGCTGGCTACACCAAACTTGATTATGGAAACTTTAGTTAAAAGCGCCCCAATGTTCCCAAAGGATACCATGGCACCGTTCACTCTGAGCAAAGATTCCAGTAATTTAATATTAAAGATTTGTGATGTGCATATTTACGTACATAAAGGAATTATGAGTTATGTTATAAACTTACCTCTAGTAAATAGCGGTACATTTAAGGTATTTAGACTAATACCGCTACCAGTAGGAATTGGAAAGAACAAGTTGATTTACATTGAAACCAATCAAAATACCTTGTATGTTGATCAGATCTCAACTGGAAGGGAAGAACTGGAGCGTTGTAAGTCAATAGAATTAAATTCATATATATGTAAGCAGGAGCAACCATTGTTAAACAGTCACATGCAAGAATCATGTGCGGTAAAGCTGTTACAATCAAGAGTAAACATCCCAGAGATTTGCGATATGAGGGTTGTACAGATTGTACACACTCTGTGGACGCAGTTAGACAGACGTAATGAATGGGTATATTTCACGCCCTACAGTGATCGCCTCACAATCGTGTGTCAAGAGAGAGAACCGATTGATGTTATGTTAAAAGGGGCGGGCAAGTTAACTATAGAAAAGGGATGCAAAGGATATAGCTTAACAGCTTTACTGAACACGAAAAGTGACATCAAGGTGAACATGTCAAAACATGGAGGAGACTTATTGTCTAAAGTAGAAGCACAGTTTGAGTGTTGCGACACATCAGGAGCTAAAATAAACCTAAGTCACCTTGAATTAGATTTAAAACTGAAGCACGTAGCTACACATATGGAAGAATTAAAATATGCCAGTTACAAGATTTCTGAAATAGAAAATCTCGTAAAAGAGCAGGAGTGGAAACAAAAACATATTAAATTTCAGGGTACTTATTCTATTCTAACGTATATTGCGCTCACTGCACTCATAGGATATGGAGCTTACAAGTTAATTAGAATACTAGTTAACCGTTGGAAAAATTACAGAGCAAGGGGAAAAATAACCGTAGGCAGTCAACAGCTAAGCATCCCAGCTGAGGCTAGCGGGACGGGAAATATAGTAAACATTAACATCAAAACCAGTAACGAAAGCCTGGCAATGAACCCCGAAGCGATTCCATTACAAGATTATGAGAGAACTTCAATAAGGGGCAGCACCCCAGAACTCCGAAGGTCATGGAGGGTAAGGACCCCCAAATCACATTTTTGAAAACCAATTAAGGTTTAAATTGGTTTTGCTTTAAGGAGGGAGGAGTGTTGTAGACGCAAATGCTAAGATAGGACAGTACGTAGTACGGGTAGGAATAACGCCGACTACCAAGGGAAATGGATATTTTATTAATTAATTATTAACATAAATTGTATAAATTCATCATTCCTCACGTTAATATTACATACCGAGGAACAGGACGCTGTTGTAACACTTGTGTAAACGGAACTCTATAGTTGTTATTCCAGACTTGATGGCAACGTAAGTTATCGCCAGTAACCGGGTCAATATTAGAAGACCACATGCCCTCGGGCCGCGATGGCAATAACAAGTGCAAGCACACAACTGCAGGGTTCCGGGATGGAGAAAGCGTCCAAAGGTTATTATTATTCTTTGTACCACAAGGAACTATATGGAAGTTTCCAGGACAAACAACTCAGAGGGTGACACAATAAACTTGTATAAATACGAACCCTCCGCCATACCAGTCGCTGATTAATCTGGGGGCAACCTGTGTCATGTTTGGGACAGGCCTTGCCCCACTTTAACGGTCAGTCCTGTACTTTCGTAGACAGGGCACACTCTCTTACCAACTGGTCGTAATCCGACTGTAACCTTGTATATTTTTAATGTGAATAAATGTACTAGTTAAGTTACAGCTGCAATACTTTGAAACACAACGTACCAGCATCCAAGGGAACCGCTCGACCAACCGCTGTGTCCCAGCCCGGGATACAACATCACAAGCAACATTCTACAAGCTACAGTTGCCTGGAGACATTTCAGGAAAAAGAAACCTTCAGAATCTAGTCAACAGCGCAGTGGAGCTGTTTAATGTTCACAGACAGACAAGTGGCATTTCTGCACATTTGTGTCATCTGCCTAACAGTGCACATACACGTACAGCTCACCTCAGGTTCAGCCTTTATTTCCGGAAATGTTATTGGGACAGGATCCTCTTCCTCTTCTGCACCTGAGACTGCCTCTGCTTTTACATTCATGGCCTGATTTGCATCATGAGGTGTTGGGTATGTCTCACCATGTGGAACCACTAAAGCGTTCTCCAAATTTGTACAGTTCTGTAAAAACCATCACATCCTTCTAACAAATGGATGCACAACACCATACATTAACCAGCGTATGCTCTCCTTGATGTGGCTGTTTCTCATCACATTTAACTCATAAGAGCTGTTTTGTACTGATGTTCTTCTCCACAGCTATCATGATCACTATAAAGTACTCGGTTCATAGCTCAGTGACCTTTCCGAGGAACTAACAGTCACTGCGACAGTATAGAAAATATCTCCTTTTTTGGTACCTAAAATCATCATAATGAAGAGCTCCGCAACTTGTAACCTTCATTCACCAAGCATAATTATATGATAAATTCAAGAAGGATGAGATGGGCAGCTCATATAGCAGGCATGGGGGAGAAGAGGAATGCATACAGGATATGTTGAGAAAGCCAGAAAGGGCTCATTACTGTGATCACACATGCTCATCATGACTCTGTATACTAAGGTAAACAGACCCAGTACAAACCCTTCCAAATTATTTCTTTCAAATCCACACTTAGGTCTCCCAAGTGGTTCTCTCAGGTTTTCCCTCCAAAACTTTGTATGCATTTCTCACTGTTGCATGTGCACTACTTGACTTACCAACATCACTCTCCTTGAACTCATTGCTCTCCTACATAATATCCCAAACTGTTATCACCCAAGTGTAAGGAACACTGAACATGGATTATGCAAACAAACAGAAGCCTGTCACAAAATATTTAGTTCTTTGGCCAAGAGAACTGAAATAAAATAAAATTATTGTCTGTGCACACAAGCACGAAACCCTCACAATTCTTTCCCTTACAGCAGGAAACTTTTCTTCAGCTCTCTGCAGTACAATTCTTGCCACACTCATTCCATGAGAATGCAGAATCTTTGTAAACTTGAAACCTGTTCATCACATGATAAATATCTTGTGGGCTTCATAGGAATTAGCTCACAAGAGTCCTAGTAATTTAAATTCTTCATTCTAATAATTGTACCAGTAACTAACTACGAACCGGTCCATGACTCCTTTGTTACTTTCAGTTTCCCGTAGATCGAATGATAAGTCAGAATCAGTGTTCAATTTACTCCTGCTTTATTAAGACACTAAAATTTGATACATAAGTACGCCTTATATAGACATACAGGCTAATAACCATAGTAACACATAACAGTAAACATCACTTAGGTAACAAGAAGTAACCTAGTTCTTAAATTGTTTACTATGATGTTGCCAACCCTAACGTATTATTTCAGTATTTGAGAGTTGCCAACATAACATCCTTAAGGATTTTTGATGCTACAGAATTTCTCTCAAATACAGTTCAGCTTACACAAAATTTAATTTCATCTACAACAGAATTGCTTAAAAGGAAATGGAAGTGGTACATCACAAGCAGCGTACATTCAACAAACTGTAACTGTTTTAGAGACACTTCAGAAAAAGGCCTTCAAAGGCAAGTCAGCAGCACAGTGGAGCTGTTCCATGTGCACAGACAGACAGAGAGACAGACAAAGATGAGAAAGAGACAGACAGAGAGACAGACAAAGATGAGAAAGACACCTGGAATTCCTGCCTACTTGTGATATCTGCCCAACAGTAGACATACAGAACCATGCAGCTCACCTCAGGTTCAGCCTCCATCTCCTGAAATGTTATTCGCACAGGATCCGCTTCCTCTTGTGAGTCTGAGACTGCCTCAGCTTTTATATTCATGGCCTGGCTTGCATCATGACTTGCTGGGTATGTCTCACCATATGGACCCACTAAAACCTTCTCTGAATTTGTACAGTTCTGTAAAAGCATCATATCATCTATCAGTCATGGCTGTACAACGCCACACATGAAACAATATACGCTCTCCTTGCTGTAGCTGTTTCTCATTACATGTAACCCATAACAGTTGCTCTGTACAGATTTCTTCTCTACGGACTTACGAAGGGTTAAGTTCATATTGCAGGGACCTTCCTGAGAAACCTGTGGTCCCTGTGGAAGTACAGACAATACACATCTGCTCTTTATGGAACCTAAGGACTCATTACTGTGTTCACATATGCCTATCATGACTTTGCATCCTAATACAAACACAGTCCAAACCCCCATAATTGTACCTTTAACAAAATCCGTCTTCACAATTGTCTCCAAGTGGTCTCATTCTTTCAGGTTTTCTGCCAAAATTTTTCTATGCATTTCTCATTCTCACATGCATGCTATATGACCTGCCCGTTTCATAATATGAACAGCCATTCATAGGATGTGAACAAGCTTGCAGCATCTCAATTGGAGTTGCCGAAATAGTGATCAGGGACTAGACTGATAGAAACCATTAAAAATACTGGGAATCCATAATTTGACTCAGACAAGCAATGGGTTCTATAGCAGGACCCTCTGCCACAAGAAAGAATGATCTGTTGAGATTAAACAAAGATAAACTAGGATAAGTGGTATGATTACTTACTTCCTCCTGAAAGGATACATTTTCAAGTTGGGACTGACAGATAACCCATGTCTACAAAGAAAAAAAATCATCCACACACACACATCCCATGTGATTGTGAGGTCATAGCTTATTTAAGATTTTGTCACTTGGGTCAGTTTTTTATGGAACCAAGTGACTTTTATGATGCCCCTATAAGCAGGATCCTACACTTTATTAAAAGTACAGGATTAATAAAGGGCTAATCCAAGTGGAAGCACAATAGATCATTGAAGATCACAGTCCAGTTTTTATGTCCCACCCATTACATACATACATACCCCTATCACTCTCCTTCAATTGATCCCTCTCCCACATAATAATGCAAAGTGTTACAATATGAAGAACCATGTAAACTCCCCAGATGGATTATGAAAATTAACAAAAGCTCGGCATAAAAAGTTTAGTTTCTTCAGATATGAGAATTAAAGTTCTTGTCTGTGCACAGGGGGACAAAACACTCACCATCCTTTCTGTTACTGCAGGAAATATTTCTTCAGCTCTCTGTAGTGGAATTCTCGGCATTCCTGTTGCAAGAGAATGCAGAATCTTTCATAACCTTGAAACTATATTTTATCACACATGCTTTGTGGGTGGCAAATGAATTCATTTACAAGAATCCTGGTGATATAGCATCATATTTCTAACAAGTGTACCAGTACCTAGATCTGAATATTTGCCCAAGTCTGTGAGGAAACACTAATTATCGTGAACACACATTGACGTGGATTTCTTTGTTCTCACAGCAGAGATTACTGAAGCTTGCAGTCTTATTGCACGTTCTGGAGCTTCTGGAGTTCTGGAGTCTTTAACAAATAGTTGCTCAGTTATGATGGCAGCTAGTTCACCCATTTTGAACGCACCTCTTGCTTCCAAAACGTCGGTAACTGGCTACCAGACTGCACGGAATGACGTCCTAGAAACAGCAAACCTACTCTATAAATATACATTGCAGAGGCCCAAAAACGCATTGTATGCCCTGCAACTTCAACCAGTTCAACACAGACTGTCGGCTCTCACGACCCTCACGACTTCCTTTACAAGTCGGGTCGGTATGTGCGGTTATGTGTAACTGGCGAGAAAGGGAATAAAACACTAAAAATGTCCATTCTACAGGTAACTACACCCTCAGAGGGGGCGTTGCGAAGTTTAGCAGAATCCCAGCTAGAACTTGCAACTGCCTAACGATAACACGAACACAAAGTATGTAAAAATATGAGGAAACTTAATTTATCTCCAATGATCCTAATGCGTCCCTAAAGAATACCCAAAACTTACACACTTCCATTACAAATGAAATATCCGTAACCGACGATGCAAGGGTTCTTTCTACTTGTGGTCAGCCCCGCGAAACTCTCACGTTACTGGTAGGAAGATTGGCCGCCATGACACCAGGGTGCAATGCTTCTGCCATCTCTGCAAATTCACCTCTAACTAAATATAAAATTGCGGCCAGATCCAACAGCGCAAACGGTAATAAGGTATGCTAACATATCACCTTTTGGGTGTTTCTTGCTCCCCCCCCTTCATCACTTTGGAAGGCTTTTTTCTCAAGAGCAGTAAATAATCATGGAACCAGATGTTTTGCACTGTAGAGGTTCCTAAACCCCCTTATTTAACTCTGTTCAGTATCACTTCACCCATATCCTTTGGAATGGATATGAGTGATGTTAAACCTGGTTCCCTCTTTAAAAGCCAACTGTACATGATATCAGGTTGCAAATTATTTTTCTCACGAGTGCCTGGAAAGTAATAACCTTTCTTTCACATCACACACCTCTTTATCCAAATGCACTGGACATTGTGAGCTGTAACATACATGGAATACATGTATTTAAGGAAGCTGAAGACTGGGAAATTTGAAAGAAAATTATGTTTTCATAAGACACACTTATACTATACTCGTATCTCATAAGTTGCTCACAATTTACACTTGAAAGCCACACACAACAAAGTTTTTCAGTTATATGTATTATAAATCATGCACAGTAAGCAACAATACTCAGGTACCCATTTATTATTAATTTCATTAGAATGATGGAACACGAGAATGTGAACTGCAGCCTTGTCAACAAGATTAACACTGCATTTAATGACACATGAAAATCTGATATATTCATCTTTACCAGTTAGGTACAGGGCAGGATAATATGACAAAAATAATAATATACCTTACAGAAATGTAATGAATACTGAAAATTTGGTATCTATTTATTTTCCATTTCAGTATTGGATCGATTATATAGCAAAAATTAATAATATGTCTGAAAGAAATTCAATGATTATTGAAAATATTATGTTCATGTACACCAGTTCAGTACAGGATATGATTATATGGCAAAAATCATCTACATGGATGAAACCTATATTCATTTATCGCACACCACCCCATATGCATGGAGTGATGGATCCATCCAGGGATTATTTTCCCCTGTGTCGAAAGGCCAGCGGCTCATTGCTATCCATGTAAGGGGAGAGGAAGGTTTCTTCCCTAATGCCAATGTCCGCTTCAAATCCCATCAAAAAAACAGGATACTACCACAGTGATATGAACTACACCAATTATGAAAAATGGTTTAAGGGAGCGACTTATTCCTAACCTTCCCCCAAATTCTGTCCTTGTCATTGATAATGCTCCCTACCATTATGTACAACTAATCAGAGCCCCTAACTCAAATTCAAGAAGAGATTTTATGATATCCTGGCTAAAATATCACCTTCCACTTATTACCTTCAATAGCACTGATTTTTCATCATTGCAGAATCCAGATATATACAGAGTGTCCCAGAAGGAATATGCCAGACTTCAGGAGGGTGTTCCTTATGTTAAAGTATGCCGATATAACCCAAAACACCTACGTCCAAAGTTGAACGGTTACGGAGATAATGGCCCAAGAAAAGTGTGGTCTTCGGGCGGGTCCACACACTGTACCTGTCAGCTGACAAGTCTTATCGATGTTTGGCCTCGAGTGTGGTGATGATGGCTCACACTAGCCGCCTACACAAGCATACCAGAATGCGCAGTCAGCCATGTTATATTGTATATTGGTTTGTATAATAAGGTCCCCAATCAAATAAAATAAAGGGAAAATTTTAACCCATTTAAAAAGGAATTAAAATCTTTTTTGCTGAAACATTCCTTTTATTCTGTAGATGAATTTACGTCTTTTGATTCATCAAGTTTGTAACTGTAATATGTAGCTGATTAATTTGTTGTATTTGTGTAAAGACAATGAAATTAATGGTAACTAGATCTAGATAATATTATTCAGTTGACAAACCCCTTATATTAGGGTGGTACAGTGTATGCTGTGAAGATATGCACGAGAATTAGATGTAAAACCGACAAATTCCCTATCCAAATGGTTGTAATACTTCTATGTATGGATTGTTTAATGACAATAAAAATGAAATGAAATTAAATGAAATAAAAAAATCTATAAACCAAATTTACAGATGCTAGTTTGCGGTGATTTTAATATAAAATATCTCATAGACAATAATAAGCAGTGGCAATTGAATTATATGCTGTAGTCTCTCAATTTATATAGTGTGGTTCATTTTTCAACTAGGATTAGCACAACAACTCAAATATTAATAGATAATATCTTCATAGATATAACTAAATTTGAAAATTATATTATCCTTCCAGTATTTAATGGTTTATCTGACCATGATGGGCAATTATTGTCTTTACACAAACAAGAGTTCTATTGTAAATGCGCTAACCCAAACCATAAAACTATATGGATATTTAATAATTTCTCACTTGATGAATTTAAACTTAGATTAAACTATGAGATATGGGAAACTGTGTTCAACACAGAGGATAACAATAAGGACAACATGTTTAATACCTTTGCAAATACATATCTGCAGATATTTTAGGCTTGCTTTCCAAAAAAGAAAATCAATGCGTAATCTCCACCTAAACAATGGTTAACCATTGGAATTAAAACTTCTTGCAAAAGGAAAAAAGAACTGTACCTTTTGACGAAGGTACATAACAACGATAATCTAAAGTGTAACCGTACGTCCCTCGTCAAAATTATATAATTAAGGGTATGAACTATTTATGCCTTGTTTAATAACGTGAGAGACGCTCCATCGGCGAGGTACCATCCCCGGACCGTCTAAGTGTAAATCCGCGATTGTCCTCCTTAGGCTGAGGGTGCCACTATTGTCCCTAATGTCGCCAGTTTACTCCCAGTACCATAAACCCATGAACTGACCGTGTGCGAGACCGGCCAGGAGGGGTCTTGCTTGCCTTGAAGACCTAAAAAACTTTACGGGCTTCTCCAAAATACGAATATAGGTCAGATGCCGGGCTCGACCCGTGGCTTTCTCTTTTTATGTTTCTATTTTTCGTTTTTTTTGCCAACTGGGGGACTGGTAAAG